ATGGTGTCTATTTATGAAAGGGATCAGTTTCTTTAGTACCTTTCTTTGGAAGCTAACTTGAACCCTATGAGTTATTCAAGGTGTGTTAAGCTCTATATGAGAGAAGCCATGTGGTCCTGAAGTTGTCATTCCTGACTGTTTTCCTTTCTACAACAGACTCTCCATCAAAGAGCATATATGACTGAGTTCTTTCCTATGTAATGTTTGACATGAGGACAACATTTGCTGGTTAAATAGGGAGCCATTCAGTGTAGACCAGATTCAGCAGGTCCTATAGGATTTGCTAAGAATATTGAATCACTAAATTAGCAAGATGTACTAGCCATAATGCGGATAACCTCTTAGAAAGGAAATGAGGCACAAAAGCAAATTCAAACCAAAGGTGATTCCTAAAACTTGATGTCCTTTTATAATAACAGTTCTACCATTTCAGTACTAATGTTTTACAGTAGTTCTTTTTGTTAACGATCTTTTCATATATGAAACTACAAAGCATCTCAACCATAAACTATTGGTTCAAAGAAAAGTGGCAATAAAACATCTTTAAATGTTACTACTTGAAAATTACTAAAAATATCAGACTCATATACAGTAAACACAATACATCTAAGTCTCCTAGATATTTGGTAGTTATACATTTTTCTTACCTTAGTTTTAAAAGAATAAACTCCACTAAGCTGATAAAATAATGAGGGAACATTTCCACAGATCTAATTTAAAAGTGATAAATCTTTTATTTCTCTTCCTAAGTCACCCTATAGTCTTCTTTTTGATCTCTTATATTGAAAAATATGACCTAGCTAACTTATCACTCTTATTTCTCCTCATAGTCTTTGATCAATAATGTCATTGTGGTTGAACACCACTCAAGAATTCAATGGCAGTATTTGTGTTTTTATAAAATCTTCTCTATATTCAGCAATGTTTATCATTTTCATACTATGAGACAGGTAGCTACATGCATTAAGATAACTCAATTATTACCCAATAACCATAGTCAGGTCTCAGATTTCTGAAGTCACTTCAGAAATGAGCCAACATCATTGTGCTCAAATATCAAGAAGAAAATATAATAGAGTGAATGCTTAGAGTTTCTTCACATCTTTAAAATTGATAAAGCTTTCTTTAAAATATTCAGATTTACTAGGCCACTTTCAATGTTTTAAAGCTTGGCTGTAGAAAAGAAAATCAGTTTTCTACCACTTTGGCTAAACTCAGCTTCCCCCTTCTTTCCCCTGACCGTCTGTTGCCTGAAGACCAAACCCAAGTCCCCAAACACACTACTCAGGTGCCCTATCTCTGAGCTTGTATGACTCCTGACTTTTAAGGAGTTACTAAATATCTTGGCAAGCCAGAGACTTGGAACTTTACTTCTTTATAGGTTGAGTGTTAGAACATAATTTAAAAACCTTCTATGGATGACAATTTTCTTTCAACTTTGGGTGTGATACATAGCAAGGGAGGTGTATTTTTTTCTTTCTTAAGAAGAGAGAGGTACAGACAGTGAATGGTCTCCTTCACAGGCACTCCCAGGTTGTTCACCTTGTCTAGGCACATGCGGCATCACCACAGAGCTGTCTCTAACCTCAGATACCAATGAGAAGATGCTCCAGACTCACACAATCTATAGAGTCCCAGAAGACTCACTTTGGAGCTTTAAATGTCTTTAGAATGAGGCTGTTACTACAGATCTTTAATGTTGTGCTATTATTTATGGTCAAGTTTCTTCCTTCTTTTCTTCCTTTCTTCCTTCCTTCCTTCCCTCCTTCCTCTCTTTCTTTCATTTAATACAAAGACAACAACACTTTGATTAAAATTCTTGATCAGTCATCTTATCTGCACAGCTTGGTAAACAATAGCTCTACAGTAGAATGAAGTCACTTACTGATGCATAGCATGTCCCATCTGGTTAACAATTAACAGATAAAGCATTTAGGAAATGCTGGTTTGGGTGGAATTTTTCTTTGCAGTAAATTTATAGTAAATTGACTAAAGTAGTAAATTATGAATTTTGAAACTATTATGGAAAGATCTAAATTCATCTCACAACACTCAGCATTTTCTCCACTTAGTCAGGACTTGTTATGATAGTCAGATCAAGACAAACATATTTTCTCTTCACAATTTTGCATATTTTTCAAAAGACCACTCTTGTATTAGAGTAAAAATAGCATTATACTGGTTTATACTCTGGTTTCTCTTCAGATCGTATAAATCTTACACCTTTTACTAATTTATAGTTAACTTTCAAGAAATGTCCACCATATGATATGTTAGGGAAAGATAGTAATAATCCCCAGATCCCAACAATGCTCCTTCAACCTTTGTTGACAGTATCAGCTGGCTTCCTGTTATATTTTTGTTTCTGTGAAGCCTTTTGGAGGCCCATAATTAGAGAAAAGGAGTTATGTGGTTGGAGACAAGCCTGGTCACAGAGGTGTTTGAGGCACTGAATTTGGGCAATGTAAACATCAACCAGTGTAAACACTCTAGACTTTGTCTCTGTATCAGAAAGAAGTATCATGTACATTACATACCTCTAAAAAATACAATATTGTTCACTAAAAGCATTTGTGAGGTAATTAGTAAGAGGAAACAGCTGAACATACATGTTGCAGTGGGATAAAAAATATGGAGTTCTTTAAGCAGAATATCCATGGCATCAGGTCATCTATGAAGTTATATAATTAAATATACATAACTGGGATCTGGAAATCATAGGACAATGAATTTATAACAATGGTCAAATAGATTTCAAGGTCAGACGTCATTGTTTATAGATGGAAATATTTCTAGACCAAGTGTTTATAAGTAAAATATTTTCATTTTTGGCAGTTTGAAATGTCAACCCTCTTGAGTTTATTACCCAATATTTGTTACTCTTACAGGCACATTTCTATATTTATAGTCAGTGTTGACCTCTGCTTCCTGCTTCAGTTATCAATGATGCTCTTAAAGCAGGTCCTGAAAAATAATCATTCTGACAATGAAAGAATCTTGGCATAAGCAAGTAAATCATGTAACTGGAACACAATGATAAACAATAACATGGAAAGGTAAAATTCCTTCACCATTATGACTCAACCATTCCCTGTTATGGAAATACTGGCACGAATTGAATCAAAATCAGAAACAGATTGACATCATGACAGTTACCACATTCTGCCATTAGCTGTGGTCACTTCTTCCCATTTTTTGCCCAGAAGACATGTTGCAAACATTTACTGTTAGCATTCCCCCTTCATGGCACTGGCATCAAGATCAAGATGAACATCCCAGGCAGTGGAAACTGAAGGAAATACTAACTTAGAATCAGTCATAGATGTTGGAGGTATTGGACTGTTAACACTGGAGAATTGTACTAAGGATGAATCCCCTACAAGCTTTCACATTGTGCTGATTAGTAGCACAGTTCTAAATCTAACTTATCTTAGAAACATTTTGTGTAGACATGTCTTTGGATCTGTTTGTATTTCTGAAACTGACCGGACATCAGATGGAGGTTAGCAGGAAGAGGATTAAAATGACACTGGGATTTTACTTTGTAATATTTGTAATTTTCAAAAGAGTAAAGGTATGCAGACATTTGAGTTTGAAAATGCTTTAAAGGATGAGAAACTATCCTGTCACCAAACTTAAGGAAAACTAGAAACTATTTGCCTTTGTTATTGGCAAAGTTGACCTACAAGTATAAACACCACTTTGATAGGATTGGCTTACATGTATGCCAAATTAAGATTAATAAAAATTAATACAAAATGAGTTTTCACAATGATAAGTCAATGGGAAATATTTCTGTGGTTAATTCCAGAAAGAAAAGATAGCTTAGAGGAAAAATAAAACTACTGATTATAGTTTTGGTGAGATGAAACATACATCTTTCCTGGTTATTTTCTCAAGAATATCTCAACTATAGCTGTTTTTATTCTTGGCAAAATTAAAATATTGTGATAAAGAATGAGGTATTTTTGGAGATTTATGGCATGAAAATTCAGAGTGACCACAGTCACTGCTCCGTAATTAGTTTGAAGGTATTGATCCATGAATATACCTTCATTGTTGTAACTGCTTCAGGGCAGGAATGAGTGTGGTTTTAGAGGGAAAATACAACTTAGAATTTCTAGTGCTTTTCTAAAATGAAGTAAAACCCAGAATTAAATAATCACTCTTTGATTTCTCTCACCAACAAATTTTATATTTAGAAACTTTAAGACTAAATCCTAAGTTTTCTTAACCACATTTGTAAGGTATATTCAGTAAAAGTGGTTTATTTTTTCTTGTGACTCTTTTGAAGAAATTAATAAAAAGAAATAAAATGTGAAGTTGGGCACCAGCAGAGGTGGTGCTAAAAATTTGAATCATTTAAATTGGAGCCTCTGAAGGCATTGTTGATCCTAACTTGTAATGCCAGCTTCTAATTGGCTTCATTAAAATTTGGCTAAATCACTTTCTAAGACTTATCTTAAAGATCCATTTAATGTCACCTTTTAAAATGTCAAATTCCCATGTTGCATTTTCCTCCAGGGAATATCCCTTATACTTTTTATCCATGATCCTGTTCATGTCTCTCTGCCATTTATGAGAAATATAAAAATGGCATTATTGCAGTTTCCTACAGGAAGTCTGACATTCACCTGCTCACAACCTTATCAGTGCAGCTTATTGGGTAAACATAGCCATCCTTAACAAGCTACAAAGAATTCTTCGTTATGTGTCCACTTTTAGGAATATGTCTCCCCCAGTGCAAATATAGAAGTATGAATCATATTCCATATAAATAGATGCAAGCAGAATTTATCTTTTCATAGTCTCCTTTTAGTTATCATATTCCTTTCTGCAGGTTCATGGTAATATGTGCTTTCATTTAAAACTCACTGATACTTCTCATACACACAACTTCTTTATAAAAATACAACCAAGCATCAACAATGGTGATACCACCTTGGCAAAACTTTGATTTTTTTGTTTGTTTGGAAGGGACTCAGGTTAACAGTATAGTTCTTTTAACACTACTGACTATTCTGGTTTATTAGTGTAGATTGGGACAGGAGGAGAAATACATGCCATTGCTCACGAGCTACTCAACAAAAACTCTGTGATTTGCATTATTTCAGGATGTAGTATTTGGGTGTGCTCTTCATCACTTGTTCCTAGGAGTGTCTCTAGCAGGCACACTTCTTTTCTGCTGGCTTTTCCCCATTCAGCTTTCCTGAGTTTCCACCATTGACAGTGTCCGGAACCTGTGTCTTCTCTACACACCTTTCCATTCTCCTCATTATTAAGTCCAGAAGAGTTTCCACAGACTTCTCTACATTTTGTCCCGTTGCTGCACTTGTTTCAAAGTATGGTATGCTAACATAGAAAACAAAAACAGAGTTTTCAAACTGACCTGTAAAATTATATCTATGGATCATCTATAATGTACTTTTGAAATGCATATGCATCATAGAAAGATTAATTAGCTAATTAACAAATGTATTACTTCATGAAATCAACATGTCTTATTACTATTAAAACTCTTTAATTCTTCAAGAATACATATTACCAACAATAAATACAGTCAACAGATTGTGACATTGTGAACTTAATCTATTCTTGAGTAATGCAGATAGTAATATTCTCATACAAAATCACTTTAAATCATATTTGGAGTTTATTTTTTAAAAAGATTTTGTTTTTATTTATGTGTGTATACACATGCATGTGTGTGTGTGTATGTGCACCCCCACACACACACACACACACACACACACACACACACAGAGGCATGAACACATATGCTCAAGAAAGCCAGGAGAAGGTGTCAAGTCTCCTGGAGCTGGTGTTAAAAGCCACCAGACATGGATGCTGGGAAGCAAACTGGTTCTCTGAAATTATGCCAAGTGCTCTTAATGACTAAGCTATCTTTCCAGTTCCAGAACTGAGGTTAATTAAGAACCAGGGAGTCTGCTACAAGATTTTGTCTCCTAGAAATGACAGGGAAACTATACCCATGATACTCCAACAATATGGCTGCCTAAATAGAAGCTGGACAATGACAACATCATTTGAAATGCCAATGTAATAGGGAAATTGCATGGGGCCCCACCTCTAAATGAAGAACTATAGTCAATTAAGGACTGCCAAGAGAGGAAGAATTAGACTTCCCCAGAGATGAGCACCCTAAATAATTATTCAGTCTCAACAGGTCAGCCCTACTGTGTTCAATATACACATGAGCAACACTACACAATCTCAGAAGATTACATTTATAAACAGGGAAATGATGTATTTACATTTTAATTTTTAATGTTCTGTTCTTTAAGAAGAAAAACAATCCTGTACAATAGAGGAACTTCTAGAGGCATCACCATCCCTGACTTCAAGTTCTATTATAGAGCTATATAGTCCTGAAAACAGCTTTGTATTGAAGCAAAAATAGACAGGTAGACCGATAGAATTTCATTGAAAACCCTGATATTAACCCACACACCTATGAACAAGTGATTTTTGACAAAGAAGCTAAAATTATACAATATAAAAAAGAAAACATCTTCAACAAATAATGTTGACATAACTGGATGCTGGTGTGTAGAAGACTGCAGATAGACCTACTCCCATGCACAAAACTTAAGTCCAAATGGATCAAAGACCTCAAAATAAAGCCAGCTACACCGAACCTCTTAGAAGAGAAAGTGGGAGGTACCCTAGAACAAATTGGTACAGCAGACTGCTTCCTAAACATAACTCCAGTAGCACTTGACACTGAGAGCAACAATTAATAAATGGGGCCTCCTCAAACTGAGAAGCTTCTGTAAGACAAAGGGCATAGTCGACAAGACCAAATTGCAGTCCACAGAATGGGAAAAGATCTTCACCAATCCCACATCTGACAGAGGGCTGATTTCCAAAATATACAAAGAACTCAAGAAGCTAGTTACCAAAACACCAAATAATCCAATTAAAGAGTGGGGTACAGAACTGAATAGAGAACTCTCAATAGAAAAAATCTAAAATGGCTGAAAGACACTTAAGAAAGTGCTCAACATTCTTAGCCATCAGGGAAATGAAAATCAAAGCAACTCTGAGATACCATCTTAATCCTGTCAGAATGGCTAAAATAAAACACACCAAAGACAGGTTATGCTGGAGAGGATATGGAGTGCAAACTTATACAGTCACTTTGGAAATCAGTATGGTGGTTCCTCAGGAAAATGGGAGTCTATCACAAGACCCAGTAATTCCACTCTTAGACACACACCCAAAAGATGCACATTCATACAACAAGGACACCTATTCAACTAAGTTCATAGCAGTGTTATTTGTAAGAGCCATAACCCGGAAACAACCTAAATGCCCCTTAACTGAAGAATGGATGTTGTACACAATGGAGTACTACTCAGCAGAAAAAACAAAAACAAAACAAAACAAAAAAAAAAAAACAAAGCAACAACAACAAAAAACAATGGAATCTTGAAATTCACAGGCAAATGGATGAAACTGGAAGAAACCATCCTGAGTGAGGTAATCCAGTCACAAAAAGACAAACATGGTATGTACTCCCTCATAGATAGGTTTTAGACATAGAGCAAAGGATTCCCAGTTTACAATCCCCATCGCCAGAAAAGCTAGGAAACAAAGAGGACCCTAACAGAGACATACATGGTCCCCCACAGAAGGGAAAAGGGTCAAGATCTCAGAGCAAATTAGTAACACAGGGGAAGGGAGAGGAAATTAGAAGAAAGAGAAGGGGAGAAGAGGAGGGGGGAGGAGGGCATGAGGGAGCAGGGAGATTGAGTCAGGGAAAGAATAGAGGAGAGCCAGAAAAGAGATACCATAATAGAGGGAGCTGTTATAGATTTAAAGAGAAATCTGGCACTAGGGAAATATCCAGAGATCTACAAGGACAACAACAACTAACAATCTAAGTAATTGTGGAGAGGCTACCTTTAATGCTCTTCCATGATAATGAGATTGAAGACTACCTTATATACCATCCTAGATCCTTCATTTAGTAGCTGATGGAAGCAGAAGCAGACACCCACTGCTAAACACTGAGCCAAACTCCTGGAATCCAATTGCAGAGAGGGAGGAGTGATGAGCAAAGGGGTCAAGACTAGGCTGGAGAAACCCACAGAAACTGCTGACCTGAACAAGGGGGAGCTCACGGACTCCAGTCTGATAGATGGGAAACCAGCATAGGACTGACCCAGACCCCCTGAACATGGGTGTTAGTTAGGAAGACTGGGCAGTCTATGGGGCCTCTAGTAATGGATCAGTATTTATCCTTAGTATTCAAATGGTCTTTGGGAGCCTGTTCCACATAGAGGGATACTTCCTTAGCCTAGACACATGGGGGAGGGCCTAGGCCCTGTTCCAAATGATATGACAGGCTGTAAAAACACCCCATGGAAGTCTGCTCCCTGGGGAGCCAAAAGGGGATGAGATGGGGGTTGGTGGGGATTGACATGTAAAACAAGGTTTTTTTAAAAATTTAAATTAAAAAAAGAGACAAAACAAAAATTTTGTTTAGTGCACAAACTGTACTCTAAAAGCAACAATGAATGTATGCAAAATGAAGCTTGTTTTATGTAAAATGCAATACCTCTTCTTGCACTACAAAAACAAAAATAAAAACAAAAGATGGCAATTCAAGTGTCTCCTACAGGTGGCTATGGGGAGCTCAATGAGCTGAAGTCCAACAACAATTGCCAATGCATGATAAAGACTCATTAAATGTTAGATGCTATTATTAATATGACTTTTGGAAGTGAGGGAAGGGTGTGTGTGTGTTATATGTATATATGTGTAAACTTGCCCACTTGTGAGTGTCAGTCACTGAATCTGAAGTTCATTAATTTATCTAGACTGGGTGGCTAATGAACCTCATCACCTCTCCCAGCACTGGGGTTACAGACACATTATACCTTATTACATGGATGCTGGGGATCCAAATTGAGGTCTGCACTGTACCCAGCGAGCCATCTTTCCAATCTGGAAAATCTTTTTAATTCAGTACTGTTTCTGATCCACAGGGATCCTTTCAACTGTCTATCTCATGACTTTGCTTCATCTGTGTATGAGGTCAGATGGTTCTTAGTGAAAGTAACTTACCCATATTTTTCAGCTAGCTCCCGGGCTTGCCGTTCATTGACTTCCCTTTGGTCTGGCAGGTCTGCCTTGTTGCCAATTAATACTATATCTGGGTTTTCACAGTAAGCATTTGCTTGCAGTTGGCCTTGGTAAGAAAGCAGATGGAAGCGATGGGTTAGTCACAAGCAAGCAATGTCAAAGGACTGCTCATACTCCATATTGCTAACCCAGCTGTTCATCTGCAGCCTGGTCATCTCTCCTCAGTTTCTTTATCTAAATGGAGCTGATGCCTCACAAATTACAAATAGTAAAGCTGCCAGATAGGAACACAGGAAGTACCTGAACCAATACCTAAACATGATGCTCACCTATACTGGGGAGCTTGCCATGTGACCTATGTGGCTTCCTGCCTGCCATTGATTCCTCAGATATGAATATCAGCCTTGATCTAAGCTTGGAGACAGAACATGATTTTCATGTATGATCATTTGCTCACTTAGATGGAGGCTCTGTTCTCCTCTTCTGACATCAAAATGACAATCTATGGCATGCACAGTTTTTTTTTTTAAAAACTGGAAATTTATGCAAAAACAAGCGTAAGATAAAATCTTGTTTTCCTCTTTCTATAGGTAAATGTGGTGTGTGTGTGTGTGTGTGTGTGTGTGTGTGTGTGTGTGTGTGTGTAGGAGACAGAGAGAAACAGAGAGAGAGAAAAAACTAAGTAACAAAGGAAGGAATGAAAGGATGAAGTGGGAAGGAAAGAGGAAAGGAGAAAATGGGGGAAGAAAAGGAAAGGAAAGACAGACCACTCCAGCTATGTCCTCTACCTCATTAAGGCCTGCTATGTGTCATGTGGCCAAGACTGGAAGGAGCACACAAAGGTTTATCCTGTAATATCAATGATTTTCATGTTAGAAACCCAGAGGTTATTAGACATGGCAATTAATTATCTTAAATCCCCATAATATCTTCCTGGAGACATGAGGAAGGGGACCATCTGCCTTGAAAAATGACAAACAAACCATTCTCTGAAAGAATCTAATAATCTTATTATTTCCTTGTCTCAACAGAATCTAATCATAGTACCAGAATTTGGATAAGGACATACAACATTCAGAGGAAATAAAGGCAGATCCTAAGGTAAACATTAATTTGGAAAGGCAATTAAGAAAGTCCGGCTTTGTTGATATTTTCCCTATTGGCTGCAACTGGTTACTGAATTCACATTCAAAACACACATAAATTTTTACCTATTGCTATATTTAGTGCATCACTAATTTTACCTAGTTTTATTTAGTACATGATTAATTTTGTGTAATGTGTCCTGTGAGTAGGAACATAGTAATACAGACATAGATATTGCTAGAGTCTGACCATATACAAAGTGTCAGGAAAGGTGCAGAATATTGCATTGGGGCAAAGGGATAAAGCCTAGTCTTTCTCAGAGCATATAAATAATCAAAGGTACAAGTAAATGCAAAATCTGTAAAGATGTGTGCTGGTGACAGGGTCCAAATGAACCCCATAGTGTTGAGGGGGCACGGAGTGATGGCAAGTATTCCATTAGGTGAAGTGGCAGGTCAGGATGGCCTCTCTGGCGAGAGAAATAAGGTCTAGGCAAAATCGTGGGAAGAAAGAAAGTAGCACACAATTGTCAGCTGCAGAAGAGAAATCCAGGCAGTGGAGTTGGGAAGGGCAAACATCTCTAGGAGGGAGGGGACTTTCTGTTCTGAGTGTGGCTGAGAGAATAGTCAAGCTTCATAGTGTTCCTGAATGTAACTGAAGGACTTTGGCTTTTATTCTAAGCTCAATTAAAGTCATAGACTCTGAGGGATTGAGAGAAAGGAGCTAGGGAGGGAGGCTGGAGATTTCTCTATTTGGATTATCTTCAAATTTGGACAACTTATTTATTTATTTTTGTGTGTGTTCATGTGTATGTCACATATCTGTATATAGATGTATATGCACACATACGTGCTTGTCTTTAGAGACCAACATTCAAAGGCATCCTACTCTTCAAGTGTCATTTGTCTACTTGTTTCTTGAAATACCTTTCAAATCCTGTAGATCCAGTGGCTGGCTAGGAAGCCCTGGTGGACCTCCTATCTCCACTCATCTAGTGCTTGGAGTAGAACTGTGTTCTACCATCATTGCCATCTTTGCATGGGTCCTGGTAATTGTACACAAGTCCTCTTGCATACACAGCAAGCATTTCGCTGATTGAGCATCCTATTCACCCTCCTTGTGTGAACTGTGATTCCTGCACCATGCCTTATCAACATGGCTGACTACTCTCTGGAATAGTTCCTAGTTTAGTTAATCTTTTCACTCTTGAGTATGTCAGGTGCCAGTGTCCCCTCCCCAGAAACACTATGGATGTTTTCTGTGTCTTACCTAGTTAAGTTTAATGCCATACATGTTACCTTTTACCTTGTAAGAAATCCCCAAGTCTTACTGGATATATGAAATTAATGACATCTAGATTAGAATACTATACACTTCAGTGTTGAGATAGTCACATAGGCTTTCTCTAAGATGACTGTCAAAGGAAAACAGAATTCCAATCCATGTTTCTTAATAACACAAAAGTCACCCCTCTGGAGGTGACATAGGGTACACTCTGCTCATATCTTTTCCCAGGTAATCTCTGACTTCATTCCCACAAGGCAAACAAGCAAATAGAGCTGTCAAGTCCCAGAGTAACAGCCCATGTGCATTACCCAGCCCACTTACTCATCCAGTTCCTGACATTCAAGAAACTCTGTTGACTGGTGAGGTCAAACATTAATAAGAAGCCCATGGCATCTCGGAAAAAGGCAGTGGTGAGACTCCGGAATCTGCCAAGGAAGCACAGAGGCGGGTTCTCAGACACAAACTCACACTCACAAGACAGGCAGCACTGTTTCCAACACATACATGCTGTCTCCAAAGCAAGCCCTTATCTTATTGTAGGAACATGTGACACTAGGCTAGAAGATGACTATAGGATAAGGAGAGGAGGTCTGCTTGCAAATTGTTTTCCTAAAGACAACTTTTAGGCTCTATGGAGATGCTGACAGAGTTGCACTTAATAGCTAACTTGCCTCCACAGACTCTTGGAATCTTTTTTGTTTGTTTGTTTGTTTGTTTTTGTTTTTGTTTTCAACTTAAGGTTTCCTCTGGGCCACAATTAAAATCTTGGCCCATTTATAGTGGACTTGAACTTAGACTTCTCAAAATTTTCTTGTCTGCGCACAGATGAAAAGCAGGCCTTTAATTAGGCTGAGAACAAGAACCTCTGTGAGCATGCAAGGCTCAGAATTAGAAAGACTGATGAACTCCTTTTAAAGCATCCTTTGGGGTGAACTCCCTCAGGTGGGTGTGAGAGTCATGAGGAAGAGGAAGATGATTGGGGAACTCAGGCGGCAGGAAAAGAAAGTGAGAATATTCATTCACAGTGAAAGATGCTGGAAGTATCCTAGTATACAAATGCTAAGATGCACTCTCACTGACCCCTCCCTGACTTCTTCAGTGATAATAAAAATGGCCTGACACCCACAATGACATCAGCCATCAGCACTGGGCAGAAATGGAGAATGCACACAAGGAAGGGTTGAAGTTAACAATGAAATTTCAGGGACACACATAGCTTTGAAATAGAGAAGTGTTGCTCTCCTCAATTATTTTCTAATTTTCTGGAAATATATATATATATGTATCTTCATTTTGGTTTTCTATTCTGGACCCTTCTCATTTTAGGCACACATACTGGAAGATGTCATTTACTCCCTTAGCTTAGCTGCAGCTTATGTTTTTAACAGCCCAAGATACGTAGATAGATTTTTGCTATCTTTTCAATCCGTGCTTTAGAGATTTTTCCACATAAACAAAACACAGACATTTCTAGAATCATCCATCTCAAACCCAAATGCTTTCCTCACTGTCTCCTTTTTCTGGCAAGTACATTCTCACCCTGTTGGTGGCACAGTCCTTTCCTCTTTCCCTCCTCACTGTGAAATGTGTCATCAACACAATCTTCTTCACTGACTCATCTCATTACCCTGTCTCCTACACACTAGCCTCACACCCATGGCCTCTCACCCTCAATTACCATCGTAGTAACCTTCCATGTCCAGTTTGGGGAGGCCTCATTTCTTCCTGTTGATTTTGTGATTCTTGCACTGACATTTTCATGATTGTGCTTGGCCCTTAGGAACCCTTGGCCCTTGGCACCGAAACACCCCACTAAAGCCAGCAAGGCTTTGTAGGATCCTTACCCATCTATCATTAGGTTTCATCTCTTGCCTACTACCCACAGGCAGGCTAATCTTCCCTTAGTTCTAAGAAAGTTCACTGTCCCCCCCTGGGCTCTCTCACATGCTGGTTGTTCTGTGGGTTGCCTCACATTAGTTTTTCTTCCTCTGCCTGTCCTTTAGCCTGGATTACACTCCCTCATGCATTGTGTATGAGTGTAAACATAGCTCACCAGTGGAAACACCGCTTCCCCTGGGAGCCTTCTGGGACTAGTCTCTTCCTGGAGGGCTCACTTACCACCTTCTGTCTTCAGACTGTTGTCCTGGGGCTATGCTGAGATTGATTGTTTGTCCAGTGTCTACACTAATTTGTAAGCTCCAAGCAAAAAGGAACTGGTTTTCCAATTCAGAACATAGTCTGTTTTCGTTGCCCAGAACATGATGTTTACTTACAAAGTGCATTTTGATGTAAAAAAATAAGAAAAAGATAGAGTATAGTAAAAGATTCACTATTCTTACATATTTTAAATAATATCAAAACAGAATGATCCTTTGAAATATGGAAGAAGAGATAAATCAATCATTTCTTTGCACAGCATTCCTGTAATACAAAGGTGTAGATTACAAAAAAAAAAAGGCATTATTCTCTTATTCTCTTTTTTTCCCATGTTGGTCTATCTCTTCCTTTGCTTGGGAGTTCTTAGAGATCACAGGCATTCTGTAATAGCTCTCTCTATAGAAAAGCTATGCACACAAAACTATTACTTAACATATGTACTGATGTGGCTGAGAAAAGTGAAAAGTGATGGTTGATATGTGCATGTATGTGTGTAGGACAGTCTGTGTGTTATTTTCCTCATTGTCCACAGCAAATGATGAAGTAGTTAAAAAGTCTGCTTCTGGTTGTCATCAAATTGAAGCTAATTTTTCTTCACTAAATAGTAGCACAGACAGGACTCTGTTGCTATAGAGCAGGCTGACATCCTATACCATTTATCCTTTGTTGTTCTTCTTTCCCTGGAAGAAATGCGACTGACATCCAGTTACACATACGTCCCTCCCATCTCACCATAGTCAGTGACTCAGGTGAAAAAAACTAACCATAAAAAGCAATAGACTCCAGAATCAGGCCCCCTTATTCTTCCCTTTATGTTCACACCAGATTATGTGTTTTCCTGCTTTCCCAACATTGACTTTATCAATGACCATTACCCTTACCTGGCTCATACTGCCAGAAGCCCAGAGGCATAGGGCTGAGGTCTGTGGTATTGTTTATTATGTTGCTTAGCTACACCTTATATCCACAACTTGCAAAATTCTTAAGGGATGAATAAGCCAAGAGTTACTAAGACAGTTCCTCCCAGCCCCTTACAATGCAGCTGTATTAAGAGGACAGATGAGAGAAGTCGGCCATCATGCAAGGCTGACATATCATGTGCAGGGACATATGGAACCACATTTTTTTTTCATATTGCTTCTTCAAAGATGATTTAAATTGGTCTATAAAACATACATCTTTGTGACAACAAAACTGACACATGCAAAGGGGCTCTTATGAGGAATGACTTCAGAAGAACCAGCAGTGTTGAAGGGTGTGTGCAAATGGAATTCACAGTCAAAAAAGCTAACAGAGAGGGCCCGGCACCTCTCCTGGCGTTTACACTCACTGAAAGCGAGAACATTTTGGATGCATTTCAAAAATATGGGTGTTTACAAGCATCAGCATTCTAAGACATATGATGCAGAATCAGGGGCAAGATGTCTTCTACATATCTTTGCTGTCACTCTATTGCCACATTTATTTAATATGATAGTAGAAGGTTTTATTAGATTTGGGTCTTTAACACTTTAAAATTGGGTCCCAAAGAAACATGTTTGCATTGAATAATGGAATTATCACTGCAAGCTCTAAGCAACCAATGTTGCTATGTTCTGTTTGTTATCTTGCATATGACAGTAGAGATGATGTTGAAAGACTAGGAAGAATTCTACCCTTATGCAGCTCACAGCTTTGTTGGGATATGATAGCCGTCAGTCAATAAAGAGCAGTTAGAGATTTAAAAGTAATAGAAAATTTACTTTATTAAGCAGTGGCATAGCATTCATTGAATAGAGTTTTAATATAGGTAGTTTTAATATAGGCAGAATATAGATGTCACTGAGGTTCCAAAGGAAGTGGGATTTGTTACTGGCTTCACTGGGAAACTGGAACTTGAGCCAAGGCTGGGGAAAGAGGAGCGTTAGGAAGGTGGGAGAGAGGTTAAAGTTTTCAGGGCTGAAGCAATCTCTCAGTGGGTAGTGTGCTCCAAGCATGATCAGATCATTTTGAATCCCCAGAACACATGCAAACCAGACATAGCAGTATGCATCTATAATCTAGATGCTCGTACAATGAGATGAGGAATAGGGACAGGAGGATCTGAAGGAGCTCATGGACCAGCTGCTCTATCATGTGTGTCAGTGAATAACAAGGGAAGATACCCTATCTCAAACATGGTAGAAGATGAAGACCTACACCCAAGCCTGTTCTCTGGCCTTGACCTGCATGTCATGGCCCATGCATGTCCACAGTCTCTCACACTGGCATGTACACACACATGTATATGCATCCATTATATATAATATGTCAGAAAATACACCCACATCATATACAGCATACACAGAGCTTAATAAAAAATTATTCTTGATACACTCGGAGTGAGAAAAGTAGTCACCAATCCTGTAACAAAGAATCTGGGTGGGAGAACAGAAAGACAGGGTGAAATGCCTCTTCTTCAACTGTCTGTGATCAGCTCTTGCAATAGGGCTGGCCCTCATTGGAGTACATCTGGAGACAGTGCTCCCCACTAGGAAGTTTGATTACTCACCTCTGATTATTCGAATCTACACTAGCTACAGTTCTACTGTGGATAGCAAACTAGAACTAATGGACCTTCATTTATTTATACAAAATCCATTCATTTTTTTGTTTTGTTTGTTTAGTTTGAGACAAATTTGCTCTCATTTTGTAGCCTAAACTGGCCTTAAACTTGAAGCAATCCTCCTGCCTCAGACTCTTGGGTACTAGGGTTATAGGAATGAACTACCACACTGGGCATCACCATCTATTTTGAAACTGGTAGAAAAGCTGGATATCATTTATTTTTGAGGCTCCTAGATGACATTCACTTTTCAATGTTTTCTGAGTTATAAGTAGCTAGAAATAAAGGAATTTCCTGTTACCGCTCTTGTCCAGCAGTGTCCCAAAGCTGCAGGTGGACCTTAAATGCTTTCCCTGGAGATCCATCCACTCCTTGTGTGTTGTAAACCTGAAAAACACAATTCTCCCAAGTTACTATGGTTTTGGATTTTGTCAACATTGTAGTTCTCTGGGTTCACTCAGAATGTTTTTGTTGATTACTATAATCAAAGTTCATAGTGCAGATTAAATATTTGCTTTATTTTCCCCCAAGTATCACATATATCTCACTTTTAAATGTCAGGCACAGTATGATTTTCAACACAGTTTAAGCATACTGCAAACTTAAATTAGACACCTTCTGTCATTTCCTCATGGAGGCAGCAGACATCAGATTAGGATGAAAGCTCTAGGTTCAAACAACCAACTTTTCATTTAAACTTCTGAGTCATTATTATTATTATTATTATTATTATTATTATTATTATTATTTTGACAAGTTGAGACCATAACCCTTTTATATTTTATAATTGTAATAAACTTACATGAAAATACAAATGAGAAAACCATTTTAAACAAAATTTGCCTTACAGGTACCTGTGTATCTTTTAGCATAGAACTGACTTTCCAAATGACTTCAGTAGAAATTGTACACAGAATTACTCAGTGAGTTACATGGGCCACTTCATCCTCTATCTTTTGGCCTCTTCTTTAGAGGGCATTTGTAGATAATGATCACAGCTTAGTGGAAATGTTCTACAGGCACATTTTTACAATATTTCTACCTAGATTGGTAGACATTGCTAAGGGGAGAAGTCAGAAGAATCCCCGAGTTTTTGGAAGCAGAGCTACCCACAGTCTACTGGCTCTCAGCTAAGGCTTAGGAAGCGATTCAACTTTTCATGCAGTGGCTTTCCACCAAGCATTTCCCTTTGGGATTTGTGACATCAACTGGAAGTCACAGTGATCTTGGCAGTCAAGAATACCATGGGTGGCAGGAAATCTGGCTACGCTTATGTGCCTATGCTACATGCCTCACATGTCACAATATCTTCCTTCCTGTCATTAGTGTCTAGCGTAGGAAAAGTGGTGTTGTGATTCTCACTTAAGCTCCCTTATCATGGAAAATAGCATGGATGGGTCTCACATTCTGTTCTTAACAAGTGAGTGATTGATGGCTGAGGCTACACATAAATAAAAACGCAGCAAGAACTTATAAATCTCATGTTCTAGCTCTTTGCCAATCATAGTTTTAACCTCTTTGTTAGGAGTAAAAAAGAGAATCCTTCAACTTTCTAAGAAATTTACTCAGACCAATGAATTAATACTTCCAGTACTTTAATAAATCAAAATTTGAAAAATTCCTCAAGAATTCACAGAGAACACATTATCCACAAATTCAGCAACTCATATATTTTAGTTTCTTTGTGTACTTTTGAAGACAGTGTCACTCAATATTTTTCTATCAAAATGTTACTGGCAGTTGAAAATGTAATAAATAACATTCTGAAGTTATGAGTTTCATGTGATTAAAAAAACAGACACTTTGAAGTGCGATAAACATAATTTCTCAATTCTTATTTGATACAAAAGAATAGGTAGTGAGGTTGACAGTGTAGTTAAAAACTTACCACACGTTTTTCCCGGAAATCTATTCCCACTGTAGTGATGAATTTAGGATTGAACTTATTGTCTGTGTATCTGTAAAGAAATGTTGTTTTCCCTACTCCTGAGTCTCCAAGGGCCAGGAGTTTAATCAGGTAATCATAATCCCCATCAGTCATAGTGGTGGTCTTGGTGGGCCTGCACAGGAGAAGAGCAAATACAATACAGCTGAAGTTGATTCCCTCTGTTTGCCATCAGAATACAACACACATTTAATGAATGGCACTAATATCAAATGCCCCTATGGTGCCAAAATCCTGAAAAAACTTGGTCAAAGTAGCTTCAAGTGTGAGGGTACGTCTGCCATTTTGTCACCTTACAACAGGGCACATGATACCAATTTGTAAAATAGACACTGGTACCACAATAACAGGAGTTAAAAAGTCAAGCATATTTGTTTCCTAAACAATACTCTGGAGGATTAGAAGTGTGGTGCTAGGGAGAGGAGGGCGATATGAGAACAGAAGCTCCACATATGAGAAATGAAGCAGCAAAGGCAGAAAGTGATATGCATCTGCATGCAGGATGAAGAAGTTGGGATGGTTTGCATCTAACAATGAAGGAGAAACTGCCTACTGTATGAATGCACAATATCCCCTTTTAGTCTTAAGAATTTAACAACTAACATGATGCCCTTGAAAACACTGATGTGAAATCCTGCAGCAGCAACTGTCAGAAATTTTCCCTCCCCAAACAAGGAAACCTCTGTTTTCCATGAGTCTGGTTGAGTTACCCAGTGGCGATTTCCAGGCCTGGAGAGAGAAATGGAGCTGCTGCAAGTATAGGTTCAGCTATTCCAGTCATACACCCCTTGTGTGGGTGAGCAGTATCACCCACTCTTTCCTCCAATGCACAGACCACATTCTCCCTGAAGCCATGGTGACTATGGACCAGTCCTAAACTAATGCAAATACATCTGCAGGGGTTATTCCAAGGTGACCAGAACACTCATCCGAATGACACCATCCTCCATTGTTGTGTAATCCCCATGATGATTTGAGATAGATTTGCTACAACTTTCTGATTCATAGGTCACACGAATGTGTTTGTTCTATCCTATAACAAAGGGGGAGGCCTGTGAAGGCATTGTTAACATGGAAAACATTGTTCTATTATGTGAAGAGTCCTATTTACAAAGACCCAGCAGCCACTATATTCTTTAAGACAGTCAATTCTGCAATGATTAAAATTACATTTCAAAGACAGCTTATTAGATGAGTTAAAACATCCTAGTGTTTTCCAAAATCATAAAATTTTGGGGGGATAGGTGTGTTTAATTCCAGTTGTTTAGGAAGTTGAGGCAGGAGGATCACAACTTTAACTTCCACCTGGGCAACTTCAGCTGACCATGTTAACAAAATAAGAGAAACAATAAGGACACAGTTCACTGTATGTTAGGTGAGAAGCTGGGTTCCATTTAAACCATCACTAAGCAACTGAATAGAAGGAGATACACATGGCTTATGTTTAGATAAACATAACCCAAAATAGTTTTTCTTTGCCGGTACAAGTAGTAGTCCAAGATGAAAGACTTTATGCCCTTGGGTAAAATAATTGGCGATGATAATGAGTTACTTATCCAATAATTAATAATCATTAAATAGCTTTGGAGATTCTCATCTTTTACCTATAACTAATTCCTTAAGTTCGAACTATATTGTTTCTGCTAAATAGGACTGGATTGATTATGTGTGTTTCTTTCATAAAAATTGTTTTGACCTGTCTGCTCAAGGCTCATTGACTTACTTCCTATTTTGAATTCTGTGAGAGTTCTCCATATGTCATTTCTGGGATGCTAGCTCCCACCTCAGAAATAATAGTGTCACTACTTCAGTGCTTATCTGTCCCCAGCAACTGACACAACTCATGACTCCAAAATATATTCCCAGCAGCCAAACACCAAACAACTATTGGCTCCATAAATTGCAGATATGGCTATGACTTTAATGGCCTACTTATAATCCATCCTCATTTTTCAAAAGGTTTCACAGTAAGGAAATTGCTTTGGGCTTTTGAGCTAAGGCAAATGTCCACCTGTCAATCTTCAATGGACACATGTAATGGTAAGAAGACAACAACTCCAGGTCTGCCTTGCAAATTGCCTGATCTCTAAAATTCTGTAGGGTTAACAGTCAGTCTAGTGATGTCAATAGATTCCTTTATAACTTTTGTTGGTGCTTACTAGTTGTGATGAAAAATGAGCCACTGTCTTTCATATTTTACAAATCCTAAAACTGTGTACTCACAGTGCAATTTCCAGAAACATTAACTGATAAATCCTTGTCAAAGTTGCTTTGGTGAGGGGCATTGTGAAAAGATGTTGAGTGGGCCATTGTTCAGTGTTCACACTCCACAACAGAGACAGCAAACCATGGACCTTAGGATCACAAATTGGCTCCCAATGTCCATTTGTACATTAGATATAAATGCTATTCCATTACCAGGGATCCCACACACTGCCCAGGCCTCCTAACTGTCACTCATGTGCAGGGGGCCTGGTTCTACTCTATGAACCTAGATACACAGGGGAGGGCCTAGGCCCTGCCGCAGATGATGTGACAGACTTTGATGGTCCCCCATAGAAGGCCTCACCCTTTCTATGGAGCAGAAGAGGGATGGGATGGGGATAGGTGGGGATCATGGGAGAATAGGAGGAAGAGGGAACTGGGATTGATATATGAAATAAGATTGTTTCTAATTTAAATTTAAAAACTGAAAAAAGATATCGAAGAAGATCACAAATTGGGAAAAAGAATCATTTTGAAATAGGATAATTCATATTGTTGTTTTTAAATTTTCCTCCCTTGTAATTTGCTTTCATCACTGAGCAGAACCTGCTGAGTCTTCTGACTACAAACACCTTTGTTTGCTTTATAAACTATCTAGATAACGTAGATCATGGCTTAGAAAGCATGTGCAGCCATTAGCAGCTAGCCTTCCTTAATGAAAGGACACAGACACCAGACTCCTCTTACAGATATCTGTGGGAGACTGCCTAGACTTATCAACTCCTAAAATTGATGGCTCTAAATAACTTCTGAGTTTTATAGTTGAATCTGCTGCTGGTCTTTGAGCCACACTGGTACCCAAGCAGAATGATGCTCCCTTCTGCAGGCCTGCATCTCTCCACATTCCCTGTAAGTATAATTTTACTATCAGCCTGCTCATTTTTTTTTCTGGGAAAGCGAAGGACTTAAATTTATTCTAAGATAAAAGTGACTACTGCCACAGTCCCCCCATAGAGGGAGAAAACTGGAACTATGAACTGCCTAAATAGAAAATAAAGTTGGAAGGTACAATAGGTTCCTGGAAAAAATGAAAAGGATGGAGTTAAAAGGTTATGATCTTAATTTTATTTGAGTTTCCCATATTATTTCAATTTATTGTTGACAGGCGTAAGAGAGAAAAAATCTCAGACAAATCCAATGAAATCCATTAGCATATGGGTGTTGAGCACAGAGATGAAACCCCAAAAGATATACTTCAACAGTCTAGCTTCTACCCAGCTTGAATGCACTTAAAAGGTGAGAATGAATGCAAGGGAAACCAAGGCTGAAGCTCAATTGGTCAAGTGCTGGCTTGAGTTGAATGAAACCTTGGGTTCACTCTCAAGCCTGCATAAAACTGACTGCAATCACACATGATTGTGATCTCAGCACTGGGAAGGTTGGAAGGATCAGTAGTTCAAAACCATCTTGGGCTGTGTAGAGAGTTAGAGACCAGCCTGAGATATAAAAGATTCTGTCTCTAAAAAATAAAATTAATTTAGCATAAAACCACAAAAACCAAACAAGAAAATGAAAACATGGATTTCCAAACTAGGACAAGATTGATAAATGAGTGGAATCATCACTATGCTGCTTCGTAATTGAAAGCAGTAGCCTTTTTGAACTGTCGTATTCAGTGAGTCTTAGAGAAAGATTAACTAACACACAATCTTATATCACAGCAAGGATCTAGACAGGGTGAGAACCAGGGAACCACTTCATGGACACTTACTTTCCACTTACACTAGGAAGTTCTTAACCACTTGCCAACTACATGACATAACATGTGTTCTTGACTGGTAGCCAATGTATCCTTTGTTCATTGTATACATCCTGCCTGGGGAAATACCAGAGCTGCCTCTAAGTTAAGATCCAGTTCAGGGCTGAGCAGTACCAGCTACCAGGGAATAGTTTCACTGTGTACCACATTGCCTCTGCTCTACAAATGAAGAGTGCTGGACATACTGTGACATTTGACAAAATACCATGTAAAATGACCACAAGGCCTGGCACTGTGAGAAACATTGACTTAGTGGTTCCAATGTGTTCTTCGACCTAAGAATTAGATGGTTTATTTTTAAATTTCTCTTGAAAAGATGAATATTCTGTTCTCTCATTTGTATTTATATTTATGTTTATATCTGTGCCTCTAAGATGTATTTGGTTCACTTCTCTTTTTATTACCACATTATTTTCCGAGTCCTACAGTGATTGATATAGATGTTCTTTCCCTGTCAGGTAAACACAGCAGTACAAATGAAAACACAGTCTTGGTAAGATCTCCTTTTCCAAGAAATGGAATAGACATTTATCTGGAAAGGATTAAAAAAAAAAAAAACCTGACAAGTTTTAACAACATTGTTTATTTTTCTGTGCCAAGATTAGTAATCTTGTCAGTTTTTGGTTCTACTGGTCTAAAACAGACAAAAAAGTCAGAAGACTGCAATGTTTTCCAGATCATGTCTGATTCTTGGTCTTTTTTACAGTGTCACAGCTATGCCACAGAGCCAAGGGAACAGAGAGATATAGAAGCTGGGACACTGTGCTAAGAGTCCTTCATGGGACAGAAAGGGAAAGGAAGGGGAGGGAAAAGATCTAAACTATACCATGCTTGCAGCTTCTGCAGAGTCTGAAAGTCAGCAGTAAATGCAAATAATCACCTGGACCTCAATGTCCAGATATGAAGTCATGCAAGAAACGGTGCTAGGCTTGCAGGACAGACTACTGATTTCCAACTGAGCCTAATCCACAACTTCCCCTCATTTACTATAATTATAAATAGAATACCAGCTGAGAAACAGTCTTCAACCCTCACCAAGGAAACATCTTTCCAGCAGACAGACCACTACAGAAAACCAAACCAATCAAAAT